TATTTAACCGTTTATACTTATCCGAAACTGAATCACCCGAGTTTCGTAGATTTATAGTCACCAGTCACGTGTTTAACCCTTACGAACTTATAATTTTTTCTGGTTTAGAATGAAACCAACAATGTTCCATGTTATAAAACGATTTGAAGGTTAGTGGTAAAATTGCAGCTCACAAAAATCGTTATTTTAATATGCAAACAAATGAAAATAAAGGAAAAAATCAACTTCCGCATTGAATTATTAACAGATTAACTCTAGACCCAACAACTTGCCTGTAAAAACAGTAACCATATAGGTCACCCTCATCCTCTTCAAACAGCTCATAAATACGCCGTCAAGTAACGCACAATCAATTCTAAAACATTCACCCCACTTTTCTAATCTGTCTGGAAACAGAACCCGAAATGGTAGTCACAATTTCGTGATACGACACCCTAGATCCAGCTTCGGTTGCTATGTCAACATTTGAGGTAGCTCCTGTCAATTCCCCCACTATGATCATATCTGCTAACCAAAAGCTGATAGAACACCTTCATAAGGTGAGTATTTGTAAGGAACTTTTTAACATTTCACAGCTATTACCAGAAGAGTGACGAACGCTAGACGGTGTATGTAATTAACCTGAAGTTCAAGTTCGAACAATTACGATTTAAGAATGTGGTCTTCGAACAGAGAAGGGAAGCAGGAAAAATCCACACGAGACAGAGAGTCTAGAAGGGCATGCCAAATAGAAGAGGCTACGTACAGCTGTGTAGTATTCATCAGACTAACATGTCTTATGCTAGATAGTTCCATGCAAATGTCTTTCAAGGTTTTAAAAGCCTCCAGGAAAAGCGCTGACACGCACCGAGATTGTAAGAGAAAAAAGGGGTTGGGTAAAAGGTTGCGGAAAAAATGAATAATAGGTACGATATACTCACGGAAGTGACAGTGATCTATGCTGAAAAAAGGAACAAAAGTTATAATGTCACCAGATACATAAAGCGCGTATAGCAACGGGGAAAGTTGCAGTTATCGGCAATATTAACGAAATATAGTTAATAAATTGTCAAATAAACGGCTTCCTATTCAATACAAACTTGTGACAGGGAAGTTTTCAAGGATGCAGCTCTTAGGTCTACAGCACACTTCGGTAGGAGCCTGAGCTATAATTGGAGAAAAACTTGAAAAACTTAAAAACAAGAACAGCATAAAACAGAATCTACAAAAATGACAGTATGTGGAAACTGTTTACTCCATCCTTAAATGGTTCTAACACACTGGTGAAACAGTGCTCGACACCAGAATTGTTGGTGGAATTATATTCGGGGAAGAAATCTACTACAAAGGAGAGGGTCACTCAAGGAGCCAATATCTTTGGTGCAGCCAACCTAAGAAATGTAAAGCCACAACAACAGAAACAATACCTCATACCAGGACAAACTGGTTTATGGTACAAATGGTAAATAGGGGGGAGGGGAGTTAGCACATCTTAATAATTTATCTGACCCAATTGTGAAAATGCTTGGCGGCCTCGGTGCGATTTGAACCCACGCAAGCAGGCAGAAGGCTGTAGTGTAGCCAACCCTCTAGCCAACTGAGCTACGAGGTCCCGGACGGGAGGCGTGAGTTTAATCGGTGATGGGGATGGGTCTTGCAGATGGTAAGCCTAACTTCATACATTAAAATGCTTCCGATTTTTTAAAGAGGTTAAGCCACAATTTGGCCATCGGGTCTTTCTTCAAGTAGTATGCGCTGCGCCAAACCACAGGCTCGGTGAGTCAACTGGTGCAATGGAGAGGCAAGCGTGAGATTGAGACCAACACTGGGAGATCCATCCCCATGGCAACGCAATGCCTCATTCCTCATTATGAAAAAATATGGCACGCGTACACATACCACCATACATATTCGGGTAACAGTTTCTTTGGTGCTGTTGGCATTTTGTTGTGTTGGTGGTAGTAGTTTTGCCGGGTTGACATTCCGATTTGTGCGAAGGTGTTCGCAAAGCCCATTTCGAAACTTGGACATGGACTGTCGAAGGAGGTCCGTATACAGGCATCTGACACTAATGACGCTAGTCCGCATCATTTAAATCTTGCATACTCGCTACTTAGCTTCAGACTGTTGTTTGGGCTTTTAAGGCAGATATTTCCTGGGAGCCCGCTCAAGGGGCAAAGAATGGTATTTTTGGGCGGTTATGTAGTGACCCAACACCGAGCGCAACGCTCAACCTGACGCCGCCCTCGCGGGGTACGGTCCCGCACTCGTCCGACTTTCAACTTCCTCAAACCTATACTTCACTAGCTCTGCACAGAAT